ATGTTATCAGAAAATGCTGGCAGACAATTTGCATTCTTCTGTAAGAAGGCTGCGCATGGGACGCTCTTGGACTTTCCAGCATGACAATGACCCTAAGCATAAGGACAAGTTGACCCTCCAGTGGTTACAGCAGAAAAAGTTGAAGGTTCTAGAGTGGTCATCACATTCTCCTGACCTTAATATCATCTAGCCACTCTGGGAAGATCTCAAACATGCAGTTCACGTAAGACGACCAAAGACTTTGCATGACGTGGAGGCATTTTTTCAAGATGAATGGGCAGCTATAAATTGGGGGCCTTATAGATAACTATTACAAAAGACTACATGCTGTCTTTAATGCTAAAGGGGGCAATACACAGTATTAAAAACTAAGGGTATGCAGACTTTTGAACAGGGGTAATTCCATTCTTTTCTTTTTTGCCATGTTTTGTTGTATGATTGTGCCATTCTGTTATAACCTACAGTTGAATATGAATCTCATAAGACATTAAAGAATTGTGTTTTGCCTGCTCACTCATGTTTTCTTTAAAAATGGTACATATATTACCAATTCTCCAAGGGGATGCAATCTTTTGAGCACAAGTGTATGTGACAGTGTGTGTGTGCGTGCATGACATTGTGTATTTGTGTCTGGCTATATATATGTGTGTATTTTGAAAGAGTGTGTGTATATGACAGTTTAAGTATGTATATCTCTGTGTGAGGCAAGGAGTGCGTATATAGGTGAGGGGGGCCTCCCTGATCACAATCTGTTAATCTGTGAAAAGCTACATACAGCATACGTATGTTGTTTCTTTCTTTTATTTTATTTTTTTTAAAACAGATATTAGTTTTATTGGCCTGCTCACTATTATTAGGGTTATTAGGTTTTTTTATGGAGGGGTGGATATAATTTTTAATGGGGGATGAATATACTTTTTTTGGTGTAGGACATGCCATTTTCCACCACCATAATATTTAGAGACCCCGCCCACTGCCTATGGGTGGGGACTGGGAAGGGACTTTA